GGCCCGGCCCCCGCGCTGCCCGACGACACCCCGCCCAGCACCAGCAGCGACTCGGGTGAGTCGGGCGCTCCCTCTCCCGCCCCGGGGCACGGCCGCGGCCGCACCGCGCCAACCGGCTGCTCCGCGGCGCTTTAAAAGTTAAAGTGCTTCCCCCGCAGCGGGGAGGGCAGGGCTTGTTGCTGCAGCTGTGTGTAGCCGAGAGAGAGAGAGAGTGTCCTTGCATGTGCCTCTTTAAATGCCACGTTGAGGCACAGCAGAAATCCCAGTTCCTGGAAAACCAGGCGGAGAGCAGTAGAGGCTGCCATCCTCCTCCACAGTTTTTTTTTTTTTAGAGGCACCTTAATAAGCTCCTCTTTTGCCTTTCCGTGTCACCTAGTTCATGCAAAAATTATGACCTCTTTGTAAGCAGGAGTTAACTGCGCCGCCGGGTGTCATCGGGGAGGTGCCTGTGGAAGTGAATGAAGTGGGAAAGGTTTTCTTTTTCCAAGGCACTTTCCCTCTCCAAGCCTCCAACACACCCTGTCTGGGAAGGTGCCCTTGTGTCTCCTCCTGCCTACAAAAAGGTCATAATTTTTGCATGAAATAGGTAATGCTGAAAGGCAATAGAGGAACTTATTAAGGTGCCTCTTAAAAATAAATAAATAAAAAAAATCACCAGCCATAATCAAGTTTTTGAGGCTGGAGTCTCACCGAATCATTCATTCATTCGGGACAGCTGGATGGGTGGCAGCAAGGGGGGGGGAACGGGAGGGTGCTGTCACATCTGCTGTCAGCAGTCGACTTCCCTGCTCTCTTGCACTTCGGTAAGATCTCTAACAAGGTCAAGAGATCTGGGGTGCAGGGCTCAGCCCTGAGGGGAGGCGGATGTTCGAGGCGTGGGCAGGAGCATCCTGTTGCACACTGGATGCTGGATTTGTGGGAGGAAATAGTTTTTGGGGAAGTGCAGGTTTTAGAAGCCAATTACAACATGTTTAGAATTCAGTTTGCCGCTGTTCTTCCGAGCCCAGAATAAGGTCCTGTTTTGAAACCCGGTGCTTCTTTAAATCTACAAATTAACTGTTTTATTTTTCTTGCAGAAGAAGAACAAGAGGAAGATGAGGAGGAAATTGATGTGGTCACGCTAGTAGAGGTGAATGGAGCTGAATCCGGCACAGAGTCTAGTACAGACTCTAGCGGAGAGTCTAGCACAGATTCCACAGACGGACACAGCAAGCCACACCACAGCCCGCTAGTTCTCAAGCGGTGTCATGTCCCTATCCATCAGCACAATTACGCTGCTCCTCCTTCCACCAAGGTTGAATATCCGTCAGCAAAGAGGTTAAAATTGGACAATGGCAGGATTCTCAAGCAGATCAGTAACAACAGAAAGTGCTCGAGTCCCCGCACATCAGACTCGGAAGAAAACGACAAGAGGCGAACACACAACGTCCTGGAGCGCCAAAGGAGAAACGAGCTGAAGTTGAGCTTCTTTGCTTTGCGTGACGAGATACCCGAGGTAGCCAACAATGAAAAGGCACCCAAAGTCGTCATCCTTAAAAAAGCAACGGAATACGTTATTTCTATTCAAGCAGATGAGCACAGACTGATAGCAGAGAAAGAGCAGCTGAGGAGGCGGCGAGATCAATTGAAACATAAACTTGAGCAGCTAAGGAACTCTTGTGCATAGAAACTCTGGGGTATAGACTTGACTAACCCAAACCAGGCTGAAATACGATAAAAAATATTAATGTTCTAATCTTACTCATGAACTACACCGGTTCCGAAAGGAGCTCTTGCAATTGCATGCTGTGCGGAATGACTTGCAACTACACAACCTTGGCTTCATCTCTCAAGAGCTGAGCCATAACCTCAACTGCCTCATAACCAATACTTTGGGCGTAAGACAAAATATACATTCTTCGTGATGTGGGGAAACTTTTCAACTTTTTTTCTTTTAAAAATTTTTGTATTTAAGACATTTTCTTCTTGAGAGAATTCCAAAAAGTTGTCCCCCAATTTGCTGTACATATTTACACTTATTAACATGTAAATACTTGTAATAAAAATCTTTATAGAAAAGTGCGACGTTTAATACTCAGCAGTTGTGGCAACTGGATTTATACTTGTCTTGAACTTCTGTGCCATAACATTTCACAGTTTTGTGGGGGGTTTTTTATTTAAATACTTTTTTCTTTTAAAAAAAAATGATTTTTATTTTGTTTTTAGATAAAAAAATAAATAAATATTTGCCCAAAATATAATTAGCTAATCTATGTGTAAAGACTTTGCTTTATCTCACATGTTGTCACTTCTATAGTGTCCCCAAGTTCTCTGTCATAGTTGCACAAAAAAGTATAATGGATTAGGGAAACACCCAGTTTCAGAATATGCATGGGAATTTGGCCCTTATTTATATACAAGTACACACCCACCCACCCAGGCACACGAAGGAAATAGCAAAATCTCTCATCCTTTCAAAGGGAACTTAACCTGCCATGCCAGGTATGGCCCCTTGGGCATCTTGACAAAGGTACCAATTAAGACAGGTGGTGGACTGAACTGTGGCCAGCTATCCACTGGGGCTATTAAACTGACTCTCTACACTATGGCATCTTTATTAAATGGTAGGAACAATGTACTGCATATGCGTATTTTGCAATACAATCCTCTTCATGCATAGTTTATTACCAGATGCTCATTGTCTTCTGATTTTTTTCATTACAAATGGATCAAAATAAGAGATTAAGCATATAAGTGCTATCCCAATATGACAAAAAACAGTTTAGTTCTGAGCCTGCTGTTACAAATGGCTCAGCATTTTCACCTGGTATACGCGCAGATTTCCTGGAACAGTTTGAAACTTCATAGAAAAAAGGAAAAGGGATGTTCTTGCACGTACAGGTTTGAAAAGTACAGCAAAGAACACTAATTTCTTAAGTGCAGATTACATCTCTGATTAAATCTGACCTAGGGTTTGCTTGTAAATGACATCTAAAATCAGGAGTTGCCCCAAACTGTCAGTTTAGCATGAGACGAAGAAGTGTCCCTCTGTGATATACAAGGTACGTTGACCCATCCTCCAAGAATAAGTATGTAAAAGTGATAGCTGACATTTTCTTCTTCCACTCACCTGCTTCAGCAGCCAGAGTCAATCCAAGAAACAGATAAAACTTGTGATCCAGAGGGGGAAGTGGTTTTGTGCTTTTATTTTTGGAATGAAAGCTTTTTAACGCCGCGTGAGAATCGTATTTAAAAATACTAGTTTAAATGGTGCAGTGGTAACATTTGGGGGCAGATTGAAAACAGGTCTGTGACAAAGCTGTTCATAATAATGAGCAGTAGTGCAAATAACTTCAGTGAGACTGAATGATACGCTCTTCCTACAGATTGCTGATACAAATCTTTCATTTCCCATTCCTACTTGTGGTTGTGAAAAAGGCTGTTTCACGCGTTCCTGATTGTGGCTGTCCTTTTCATGCTATTCTGCAATATATATTAATAGTGCTTTGCAACCGAACACAAAAAAATGGCAAATTCCTTGAAGATCTTACAATGACATTTTCCTTAGCACCACACTATTTATATCAACCTGACTTCCAAGGGAGTTTAAAGGAATTAGTTGTCCAAATATTGGTGCATGTTTAGGAGTGTTAGGTCTGGTCTTTTTTCAAAGGGTATCCTTCCTTCTGAAAATGTAAATAGGAACCCAAGGAAAATGGTATCCCATGATATCAATTCTTTTTGGATCGTGTGTGTGTGTGTGTAAGCTTATAAACTGATCTACAATTGCTTTCCTGAGGATGAGAAAGGTTTAGATACTGGCTAACAGAAGACTGAAGTGAAACTTTAGCGGTAGTCCCATTGTGTCTGAATCTAAGTACGGTACTTCCCACTTATGACCCACATAATTTCTGTATTTTAAAGAGCCCTCATCAAAGAAGGTGAGCTAACTTTTATTATTTAAAAAGAAAACATTTAATAATTGTTTTTCTCCCTTTCTGGTTTGCATTATAATTGGAGTCTAGTAATTATTTACACTTGAAAGGATCTGTTATCTGAGAATTTCAACCCCTTTTAAACGACCCCTTTCGTAGATGTATTAACTGAAATACATGGGTAAAGTACATGTCCTCCCCCACATAAATGAGTCTTACAGGATTTGGTTTTGGGTCTAAGATATGCATGTTAAAAACATTTCGTCCCTTTCTTTTTGTTCCTGTTTAAAGAGTGGGCCATAAAGTTGAGTCCCTTGCTTTTATCTACAGAAACTAAACTCCCCAGTTTTATATGAATTTTGTTCATTCATATTGCCATTTGCCAACATATTAACCAGAAGGGTAGAAATAATTGTGGTAATACAAACCTACAACACTAGGATGAATTAGTAATTTGTGGACATGCTGAAATATAAGATGACTTATTGTTTTAAATGAACTCCAAGGTGTATAGATGTCTTTGGAAAAGGTGTATTAAAATAGCACCTAAGGTTAGGGGAAAAAAATTCTCTGTTCATCTTAAATTGTTGTTGAAGCAAAGAGGAGGGAAGGTGATTTCTCCTTTTATATGTGGCAATTTGGGAATAAGGAGTGTTTTAAAGGACATTCTGGGGTGGATTCAATTAGTGTTGCCCCATATAGGGATAGCAAAGCATTGGGTTTGCTGATGGTTGAACAGAATAATGGAAACCTAGCTTGCAAAAGAATACTAAAATGCAGTAGCTTCCACACTACTTGTCAGGCAGCTGTACCCAAGCAAGCAGTGCTTCGTCTCCATCTCTCTGCTCCTCTAGTTCCACATGAGATTTCAACCAATTTCTATTGCAAAAAACATTAAACAAGATATGCTGTTCCTTGTGTGAAAGGCAGGCAGAGTCCTACATTGCAAGAATGAAATCGTCCATGTGATAGGTTTTGGTAATTAACATTTAATAATATTGGTCTTTATGTTCCATCATAATTTCATTTTAGCCTGTTGTTTATTTCTTCTCAGCCACATAATAATGAAAGGGATCTTTATGTATCATCTTAGCCCTATGTCAGACAGTGTGAGTGAGATTTTTCTTCCAAAGCACCAGCGTTGATCTATTCTCCACCTACTGAATCAATGGAAATTCCCCATTTCCTCCGAGGGAAACATTTGTGCCAGTGTACAACATTTTGAAAATCCCGCCATGGATCAAATAGATCCTTTCCCATAGCACTGAGGTAGAAATTTGTCTGATGGACTTACACTGCAATCACTTTGTTCCTATAGCAGCCAACCATGTTTGGAAAAAAAATGAGTTGCAGAATGTTTTCTCCAATTCACATTAAAAGAAGAATATTTGGGTAGGTAGAATGGAACAGCCCTGGACTGAAAATAAGCCAAGCCAACAAAGTCAATACACAACTGTTCTTAAAGGGTTGATAGAGATGCTTGTTTTACCCACAGGAATGAACAATCTTTAAACACATTAGATTATTCATTTGAATGCTCTTCCTGTGGTCTATCTGCCATTCCACTACCAGAAAAAGAGAACTCCTCATAGCTGTATTCCCGATGGTCCGCTTGAGAAGACGCCAGCAATTTATGGGCAAGCTTAAAAAAAATGGTCTTTCTGCGTTTCAAAAGATTTGTAAGGTACCTGAAGTCATACAAATGTGTTTAAAATAGGCGACGAGGTCAGGATTTTGGGCATAAAACTGTTGTTGCACCAAAGAGGAAGAAAGGCGATTTCCGCCTTAACACTAGCATGGCAGATTGGGAGTAAATAGGATGTTTAATTACCAGGTGTACATGGGACTCGTTTAAAAGACAGCATTTCCACTTGTTTAGGGGCCTCCTGTGTCCATACTGGGTTCAAAAGTGACTGAAAGAGGAGTGGCATTTACTGAAACAACAATTCTTGCTTTTGTTTTGAGTTTTCTCCCTGGCCCAGACCTAAACCTGTTAGCTAAAGAGAGGTGGAAAAAAGCTCAGACAACAGGGGATCTTAGCTACCAGCTTTCCTAATATATTTAGGCAAAGTAAACACCAGTCACTGAAGTACAACTGTTGTCTCTTTTTTTTTAATACATCTGCTTACACATATCTGTACATTTTTAGTACAGTGACAGAATTAGTCATTATTCCTGGTCATATTGCAGTGCAATGGTCGAGTGAGCCAGATTCTTAGTCTAGCAAGATGATTGTTAACTCAGTTGCATTTGTAAACTCTTGGGGCTTGTCTATATTGGGGTTGCAACCATTGGTGGCCAGTGAGCAGGGTCACTGCACCACTCCAATCCCCTAATGTAGACTAGACAAACTGTGATTAGAGCCAGCTGAGCATGTCAGCCCCTTGCAAGGGTAGACTCAATTAGGGCAAATCCCAACATTGTTTGTCCAAACAGAGGTACTGCTGTAGATGCAGCTAAATCAGTTAACGGGTCCTGCTAGCTGACCCTAGGCAAATCCTAAACAGACAAGGGACAAAACTTTCACAAGGGATTTGTGATAATGGATGTCCCTAGTTGAGGAAGCCCAACCTGAAACAGCTGAAAGGGGTCTGTTCTTACCCAATATGGACCACCTGCCATTTTGTAGAGGCAGCTAAGTTTGGGCAATCAAAATCATAACTCACTTACGAAAGTCTTGGCCCAGACCCTTATGGAGACAAAGACACAAGCACTGGAAAGGACCCAGCTTGAGTTTCAGACTCCAGGGAGAGTCCGTGGTGTTGGCAGTCCCCTTTTTTCAGTGTTATGACACCTTGAGGGGAAACTAACACTGTGTCCCCCAAATTATCAAGTAAGCGTTAAAACAAATGTTGTCAGCACTTACTGTGTAGGCATGGAGGAGCCTCCCTGGATTGCTTCTTTCCCACTACTTCTAGTATACTTCTTTATTCCAAGCATGGCAACAGGAAACTTTACGGAGGATCCTATTTCACAGGAACATATATCATTTAGCCATGGGGCAAAGGGGTCCTTGGTGAGAGGATGGTCAGGAAGGCTGAAGCTGCTCAGTTTCTCTCTGACATCTAATGAAGCAGAGTAAGGTCTCAATTTGAGTCAGCCCTAAGTCCTGCTCCAGCCTCAGAGATGTCACTGGCAGACTAGACAGAACTTTCCAGTCTTCTAAACTGGGTCTGTATCGGCTAATTTTGAAAAAAAGAGTAAGACAGTGAGTAAGCTTTTTTCCTACACTGAATATTCTGGTGTCCCCGTTTTACTTACTTATCTTAGAGTCAGCTGCTCCATGTGAATTACAGTTCAAATCAGAAATAGCGTGGAAGATAAGGCAAAGTGGATGGGTCCTGGACTAGTTGCCAGCTCTGCCGCTGCTTTACTGTGTGACCTTGGGCACATCACTTCACCCCATCTATTTAGATTGCGAATAGTTCTTTTTTCT